AATTGTCCTAAGGTACAATGTGGTACCAGCCAAAGTTTCTTCAACGGTCAAGGTAGTAAGCAATATTAAGTCTCAAGTAGTAGGCATACAATAAGCAAGGAGTGTGCAAGAGTGAATTGCGTGATCAGAGTTATGCCCTAGATGAAGGTATTTATAAACATCAGGTAAGAGACTTTTTAAGACATGGAATATGTATTGAACTAGGAGAATCCAAGAGGATATCTAGGATTAGATATTATTTTCTCCTAGGAGTGTAATTCGATCGTAGTTGTTGAGTCCATGAATGGATTTCTAAAGTATGCATAATTCAATGTGTCTTACTCTGATCCTGAAAAATCATTGTCCCTCATCTCATTAATGACCAAGATATACTTTCCAAAAACATTAGGAGGAAAAGGGAAAAATAAAACAAAGGTTTGAAGAAATTAGACGGAAATGATTTTTGCACTTTTTTTTTATTTTGGTTCCTTATTACTTTTTTTTATTTAGCCTTTCGATTCAATAAGGGAATAATTAAGACATGAAAGCAAAGGGATGAGTGGATAAGCCAAAAACAGGAGTGCAAAAATCATTTTTCAAAACATAATCCTGCTCACATATTTAAACCCTGTTCATTTTCAAAACCAGTTCTAGAGAATTCCATTGCATGTATAAAAGGACCCCAAGATGGAGTTTGTTAGTGCACAATTTCACTAAAAAAATGCTGATTTTAGAGGCCAATAAAGGGCAAGACGAAACCGTAGATATTTCTTGTTATCAATTTTCTGGCATAAAAATTTCTAAATCGCATCGATGATTTACCAGATGTACATGTACATGTTTAATAATAAAAATATTACTATCACTCTTTCTTGCCTTTTTTTTTTTTTTTTTAATTTATGGATTAGAATTTTAATAGTGTGCCTTGTAGTGATATTTACTTCATTTTCTACAATTGCTTTCAGCAATTTTATTATTTCTGTTGAACGGGTTTATATTATTGCTTCATGAGGGAGAAATGAAGAAAAATGTATTCATTGAAAACGTAGGACTTGTTTGATGTCCATTTTGCTTTTTGTTTTTCATTTTTGTGGTAGAATCAAAGGGGAAATACAATAGAGAATTTGGATGTGTTGGAAGTGGTGGTGGTGATGAGGCTGTAGGGCGATGGGGGTTGTGGTGGTGATGGTGGTGAAGGTGAAATTAGTGGTGGTGAAAGATGGAGGGTGGAGGTGGAAGTGGTGCAGTTGGGTTGAAGGTGTTAAGTTTATTCTAATAAGGGGCATTAGAGATGGATATTGATGTCATTTTCAAAAAGTTAATGACATTATTACATGAATTAAAAATGTTACACACACACACATATATATAGATATAGAAAGATTGAGAACAACAAGAAACATAAATGTTATTATTATTTTTCATTTTATTAGTATAAGATGAATGTTTATTTAAATTAATTAATGCAAATATGCTAAATGCAAAGCCCCCAATACAAGTTGAGTCCAAGAGTTTGGTTTCTTCATAATCATGGTTCTAAGTACTTTTTACTTGCCACTTAGTATTACATTCTTGTGGCATTCATCTTTACTTGTAAGTGAGAGGTCTTAGATTCGATTCTCGCCAAAGCCGAACTTGAACCAAATTATTGCTAGCCCATTGTAAAGCTAAGCCCACCCCCTCCCTTTTAGTGTAGATAATATCGTTTGTTAAATGAAAAAAGAGTACTTTTTAGTCCAAAATGGTGTTTCGAGGGATGTCATGAGAAGAATCCCTGAAAAACTCTTTGTATTTTGGGAAGCATTGTTGGCACTTTAAAATTTTCGTTTTGCACTACAGAATTTCGTTTATTAGAAGAAGAAAAAATACACTTATAAAGGGTATACAATGAGATTCTAGAGTGTTAATAACATTCCCTTTATTTTTATGAAATTTACTAATTACTTAAGTTAAACTCGTCCTCATCCTGACAAGTAAATTATTTATCAAGTAGTTGTCCTTGTTATCACCTTTTTTTTTCAAGAAATTTTAACGAAAAGCTCCCAATACTGTTCACTCTAACGAAAAACCATATTTTTACACTAAAAAGTCAATCCTAGTACTCTTCACTTTACTTTTTATTTTGTCCTTATCGTTAAAACTCGAACTTTTCAAACTCTTTTTATTAGTTTTCCTTTTTTTTTTTTTACCAGTGATATTTTTTATTTATTTTTTTTCTTTATAAAGGGGGACAACTAGTAGCAAACTACAGTTATCCACCCTTTTATAATGTTCCCATTATTTTTTAAAATTCGCTAATTACTTAAGTTAAACTCGTTCTCATCTTGACAAGTAAATCATTTATCAAGTAGTTGTCCTTGTTGTCCTTTTTACCTTGCGGGTGATATTTTTTATGGAATTTTTTTTCTTTATAAAGGGGGACAATTAAAGGCAAACCATTGTAATCCACCCATTTGGGGTGATATTGTTTATTGATGAATTAAGTAGTTATCTCTCATTTTCTTTTCTCATTAAATGTACCTTGTTTTTTTTTTTTTTAATTCTTTATGAAGCTCCTTTAACTTTTGATCACGTCATTATTTGACCATTAAATGATTTACATGTCAGTATTGTTACATCCCATATCGTTCAGGAGAGTGGATTTTGTAAGCTTTATATGTATATTCTCATTTCTACCTAGCACGAGACCTTTTGGGAGCTCATTGGCTTCAAAGTTCATTAGAACTCCAAAGTTAAGCAAGTTCGGGCGAGAGCATTCTCAAGATGGGTGACCCAATAGGAAGTTCTCATGTGAGTTCCCACAAACAAAACCGTGAGGGCGTGGTCAGGGCCCAAAGTAGACAATATTGTGCTACGGTGGAGTCAAGCCCGAGATGTGGTGGGGGCCCGGGCCGGGATGTGACAATTTGTTATCAGAGCCAATCCCTGGCCGGATGTGTGCCGACGAGGACATTAAGCCCCTAAGGGAGGTGGATTGTTACATCCCACATCGCCTAGGGGCGTGGATCTTATAAGTCTTATATGTATATTCTCATCTCTACCTAGCACGAGGCATTTTGAGAGCTCATTGGCTTCGGAGTTCATCGGAACTTCGAAGTTAAGCGAGTTTGGGCGAGAGCATTCCCAGGATGGGTGACCCACTCGAAGTTCTCGTGTGAGTTCCTAGAAACAAAACTGTGAGGGCGTGGTCGAGGCCCAAAACAGACAATATCGTGCTACGGTGGAGTTGAGCCCGGGATGTGGTGGGGGCCCGGGCTGAGACGTGACAAGTATGTTTCAATTTTAAAATAAAAATTTATTTAATTATTTTTAAATATACCCTTTTACCATTTTTCATATATTTCTATTTTCTATTTTGTACAAATATTTTTTTTAGATTTAATTTCTACCAATGATTTTACTTTCTTTATATGCCCTCTTTATTTTTTTTAACTTTGATTTGTACCCCATAATTTTAAATTTTAATATGTACTCATATTTTTAAATTAGTTTGTACGCACATTTACTTGTTACTTATTGTACTCATGTTAATTACATGTATTTATTTTGTGTTTAAACTATATTAATAGTTATTCTTTAAAATATTAATAATTGTCTGGGTACATTGTATTTTTGCAAGAACTATAAATGTTAAGAACAATATTACTCTATTGTTGATCTTTTAATAATTATCACAATGAGTTAAGGAATTTATCAAAATATTTAAATAAACATGATTTTAGTTTAACAACTTAGTTGACCAAAAACCATAATCAAAATAATTTTTTATATACAACAATATATTAAGGGAAATTTTATTTAAATCCATTTAACCTCTCTTTACACCCAATTTATTCTTTACACTCATATTATTTTTAATTAAACTATCAATATCTCTTTAAACCCAAATTTACTACCTAAACTATCCTCACAAACCCAATTCAATATGTAACTTTATCTTTTACACCCATATGAAAAATAAAAAACCAAAAAATAAAAGCAATCTCTTCTCTGACGTTCTTTCCTTCCAACAACTACTTTCAATGGAGTGTCCATCATCCCTTACATCATTTCTCTCTCAACTTAGTTCGTATTTGTCAAGACTTGATAGTATTGGTCAATTTTCTCATTAGATTTGTTGAGGGGAGTCCTTTATGAATTGCTCCTTAACCATTCGTTTCACTGCAAGAGCCAGTTTCTAATATAATTGCAGCACAATGCATGTTCTTATTTGACATATCCTGGGTAGAATTTAAAGATTTAAGTTGTTAAAGATGTTTTTTAAATTAGGCTCACTGCATCATATGTGCTGCATACAAGTTTATGTTCCCATATTTACAATTTGAGCTTGCATTAAACTTTATTAAGATTTTTATTTGTTTCTTCCCTCAAATCTGTCCACCTTCTAAGCGGTAGAATATGATGGGTCTGCATGCAAGCCACACCCCTCCACTCTTCCTATGTATAGAAAAGGAAGAGAAAACTCCTTCCCTTTCCTGTCCACTTCATGGGTTTCCATTTTAGTTGGGTATCGGAGAAGGAGTAGTTGGCTTAGTATAGATTGTCGATAGTTCAAAATTACTATACATCCATACAAAAGGGCTTGTTTTTCACTTTGAGAGTGTCTTATGATTTTTGTCATAATAGAATGTAGGAGAATGATACGTGATGGTGATGGTTATGTTTGATTATTGAGTGTGGATTTATAATCTTATTTTTATTATTAATTTCATTTTGTACTTTATGATAATTATGCAATAAGGTAATAAAATAATTTTACATTTACAGTTAAGTGTAAAAAGAAGTTACATGAGTTCAAATAAAATTTATCATATATTAATTACAGGAAGGGAATTCAAACTTGATTTTCCCCTTTACGTGATTTTAATGATTACCATTTTGGTCCAGATGCTACAATACTAAATCAGTTACGCACTTTCTCAACTTGTGCGTGCCATATTGATTGCATGCAAATTGTGACAAATTTTCTTTTTTCTTCTGTTCTCATCCTTTAAATTTGTGTCTAGGTCTGCAGGTGCAATCATTCACACCAAAGCTGCTAGCAAATACAGAAGAGAGCAGTTGATCCCTGCAGCTACCAAGTTATTGAAAATGAAGCGAGAGTTTGGATCTCTCCCTGCACAAAAGGAAGAGCAAGCAGAGGGAGATGGGGTGCTTTGTGCAGTGTCATATGATGCCGTCCCTCTACAAGCTGTACCAGCACCGCAGCTTCTGGTGAAGTTCGTTCCTGGAGAAAATTATGGACTGCCCGAGGGATGGGCTGTGGAGGAAAAGCCACGGACCACTGTTAAAGGCCGCAGCCGAGAAGACAAGGTTAATTCTATCATTAACAAATTGATATATCTAGAATTAATTAGTGTAGATATAAGATCGTTTGTTAAAAAAAAAATAAAAAATAAAAAATAAAAACAGAGAAATTAGGTTCTCATCCTTATGTTTTAAACTCCATTGATTGAAACCTTATTCCTTTTCAATTTTTAATCAAGGTCTCTTGGCTTTAATAAACATCATTAATTATTTCAATAATAAAATATTTTGCATATCAAGATAATTAAATTTTATTTCTAAATTATTCCAAGTTAGTGCTAGAAACATTACATTTGATATATTTATATTTATGGCTAAATTTTGTACCATATATTTTTATTTTTAGTTTCTACCCATTTTAATTTGCAACCTTTTTTTTTAAATTGTGCCAATTTTCTATTTAGTTTAAGTTTGTACCCATCTATTAATTTCTTTTTGTGTCCATATTTTTCAAACTTTTATTTGTACTCATATTTTTTAAACCTTTTATTTGTACCCATAATTTATTAATAATGTACCCATTTGTTCTTAAAAATGTACCACTTTGTTATATGTAAAATGTACATTTTTTTTTTTTTGTAAGTGCCGTCTCTTTTGTGTAAATGTACCTTTTTTTTTTTTTTTTTCTTATATGAATGAACCCATTATATAAAACGTATACCTTTTATTGTATAAAATGTATCAACTTATTGTATGTAAAATGTATCGTATAAAAATTATGAATTTTTTGCATGTAAAATGTCATTAATATAAGTAATGACAAATCATGGGTTTTATTTATATTTTCAACAATTATGGATTTTATTTAAAATCTCATTAATATAAATAACTACAAATATCAAATTTTAATTCAAAAAATTATAAAAACCAATATAGAAATGCATTATTGCATTAATTTCAGGAACTTCAATAAAAAATCGAAAATCAACAAGGTTTCAATCAAAAAATGTTTATAAATAAGAACCGCATCTAAAGTCACCTAAAAAAAATGCCTTGTTTCATGTGTTTGCTTTGACTAGATATTGACAAATCTACTTTGCCTAGTAAAAGTGAACACTACTCAGCGGATACTGAGGGATCAGTAATCATAGGGGTTCCCTAATTAGTATTGCAGTTGTTTAATCTCAACTTATGTGATTAACATACGTTATCCAAAATGCAGTTTTGCCATCATATTCCAACTGGAAAGCGATTCCGATCACTCAGCGATGCAAAGAAGTGGATCAAGGAAGAAACTACAGGAGGGCAGGCACATGGAAAATCTAAAGATGGTCATGAGGTGAGCACATGAATTAACTTATTCTCAATTGGAGTAATAGGATACCCAGACTTATGGTAAATGCTAAAAGAGTTTTTCTTTAGGCAATCAGGAAGCCTGAAAAAGGTGATTTTTAACCGTTGATGTGTGCACATAAATTATTCATGTAGATATAATTTGCTTCAAAACATTCATTTACATTGTTGTTGATAGTATTCACGTACCTAAATGATTTTGATGTTATTGCACGTTGTCACTTGCTTCACAGAGTTCTAAACCCGCGCAAAATAGTACTACAAGAAGAAGGAGAAAAGCAACTCAGATTCCCGATCTAACGAAGAATCGATGGCTCGAAACTTTTTTATCTGAGGCAGCTGCCAACCTTCGAAATTTATGAAGCATATTGTTTTTTCTGCATGTTGATAATTCGTATGAATAACTGCCAAAAGCTATGTTTCTGGCTTGCCCATGTTCATAGCCAAATATAAACCAATATAAAAATAGAACCTTACTCTTTCGAACGTTCAATGGCTCTATCGTTATTGTCTTCAATAACTATATTTACCCCTTCTCTTTTTATGAGTTCAATGTATGATTGAATCAATTGGACCAATGAACCCTTTGCGACTACTTATGGTTTCATCTTGGCAATCGTACTCTTTCTTCCTTTCTTTCTTTCTTTCTTTTTTCGAATTTCTAATAAAGAAGTGGATTAACTCAGTAAAGTAGACTATTATTTGGGTTTAAAATCCAAGGTTTGGGCCTAGATGATATGAGCTTGATAAAGTATTCGGCCTAGAAGTGAGACGTTGACGGCTCAACTAAGTCCAATTGATTGTTTTTTTATAAGATTTAAATCGAATTATTCCAAGTCCTGGTTCAAGTGGAAAAAGTCTGAAATTTGCTAGGAAAAACTTGTGGCTAACTAAATAAAGAATGAATTAATCACGCAAGAGGGGCTGGGTTCCAAGTCCAAGTTCAAGTCGAAGAGGCTGGGATTTGATAGGGACAGGGTTTCGACAGAAGAGGTATTTTTTAGGATGATGCTATGCGTATCCAGATATGTTTACCGGGGAATCACAATCTTTGTAGGATTTTATCACTCAACAGGCTTGGCCATCAAGAAATTTGTCCCTATAAATACAAAAGGATTTGCAATGTAGAGGAGACCTTCAACTCAACAAATAAATCAATGCTCTACACGAAACCCTCTCACAATTATGAAAAACATACTAACTGCTTTATTGGCAGTTAACACATTGTTTGATTAAACAGATTTGGGTTGACATCCAATGGATAGCAACCATCTGGTTAGACAGCATTTCCAGAGGCCACCAGTGAAGGTGATAGTTCGGGTTAACAACACCATAGTTGTAGAATCAGTTTCGATTTAGGAGTCTTGGCAGTTTAGCTAAACAAGAGTTTTCCTAAGTTCAACTGATTATCTATCATAAATCTCAACAGGCGAAGAGTCTTTGATTCTTCCGTTGTAGGAGGTCACTTCATTAGTTTTCTTGGCGAATTGAGGTGTACTATGATTGGATATTCTCAAATGAAATTCAGAGTTCAGCATTCAAACTGCTAAACCACTTTTGCCATAAATCACTTATCTCTTTTGATTATCTTTGTCTCTATAGTTTGGTACCGATTCGGCACACTTATATTTTCACTAATATAGTTGAAGTTGCCAAACCAGGTGCTAAAGACTGAATTTCATAGCAAAAGACATAACTTTGTTATCAAGTTCTAGAACCAAGGGCCGAGAGCATTTATTCCTCAGTCGAGGTCGCCTGATTTAGAAGTTAGGAGTGCATTCTATCACACCATCACACTTAGAAGTATTCGCTTAGCCAAGCTCGGTAGATAATTGGCACACTTGCATCAGTAATGAACCACCAAAGGATGTCCTTAGTTCCTTAGTTACTTCGGTCTATTATGCGCCATGTAGGTTGTGTAATTTTCAGGATCAATAACTATGATTATTTCATGTGTTACCGATAACGAGTTGAGCGTTTGCATTACGACGTGGGTTCGAATTCTGTCGGTAATTAATCTAATAAAATCCATCATTTGACTCTAAAAAAAAAAAAAAAGGTGTGGAGAAATAACTCCTTATAGATTCAAGTTTTATCCGTACTGAAATGCGGATCATTTGGAGTGATGATTTAGTTGTATTTCTGTAAGGAGTTATAAAGTTTCGTTTTGGATAGTACATCACTCTCCTACCTTCTCCATCTCATTTCCTTCATAACTCAAAAACCAAAATTTAAGAGTGGTGTTATTCACATATTAACATATATACATATACATATATATATATATATATACATATATATATATATACATATATATATATATATATATTTTCCATTTATCCCTCTTAATTTTTTACTATTAGACTAAATAAATTAAATAGAACCAATTAAAAGAAATTAACCAACTTGACTTTTAGTCGTTGTTGGGGAATGCATTATTACACATTTCTGCAGGACATATATACAAGATAAGTTTATTCGGAAATTAAAATAAGTGTTAATTTTATGTTACACTGATACTTCAAATGGGCTATGAAGATTTAATCTTGTTAAATCTCACATCGGCCACAGGGAAAGAAGAATAAGAGTTTAAATAAGATTACTTCACTCTAACTTACGCCAAGATCTTTTGTGATAAAATCATACACCTAACAGATTGGACAGTTTATAATAATCAAGTTGCAGACAATATCGATGTTGTTGGAATAGGGACCTCAGCCCATCGACTTGAAAAATTCAACAAATCTATTTCATATTTCGCTCTAAGATATTGAAATTGTGTGAATTTATATTTTCGGTTTGATTCATTGTACTATAATTCATTACGCTAATGATGCGGTAAGTTAGGATCTTTCTTTTACTTTGCTACCTTTTCTGATTATCTTATCCATCTGACCTTGGCAGTGGCGTTACATCTGGATTGCCATCTTCCTCCAAATTCACAACATTTTAGAGCTATGAGAAGGCATTCCATAATCGACACCTAACCTAAACTAAGCATAAAGCTACATCTTCACTACTACTTAGGACATAACATTTGTACAAATCTACAATACCACGTTGCATTGCATTCAATCCAGCGTGAGATGAACGGGTTGAGATTTAAAGAAACATATCTTACACCTTCATCTATCCAATTAATACCCACGTTGCGCTTGAAGTGACGGAGTATTGCAGCCACACCCCAAGATTTTGACTATTCTTCAATTTAATTGTGACAATCCATGTTAAGGATAAACTCATGCATCTACATAGGCTTATCATACGATGCTATTCTACACAAGTATCCAATTTAATTGTAAACGATATTACATAACAAGGCTATGCAACAAATGACCACATTATGAATAACGCAACCGCTTACAAAAGACGTGTACAAAAGAAAGTCGAACACATAACCTTGGGTGCAAGGTATGCGCTTTTTAACACTTTAGCTACAAAGCTTTAAGAGAAACATTCTTTTCTTGCTTCGACACATAAATGTTTATTCAAACGGACATATTATAGTATCACATGCTACCTGAATTGGAAGCCAAAAGCAACAAAAGTATATCTTAATCTCTACAGGTTTTGGTTTTGGTAGTAATTTGTAAACAATTACCTGAAGTCCACCTCAAGATATAACTTTCGCGGTTGTTTAAGATGCTTTAATCCACATAGATTACCTTCTAATTCAAATCTAAATCAATATCCAAAACATCGTATAACTAATCAACATCCAAAGTTACCCTCCTATAAGGAATTAGGAAACAAAACAAGCAAAATCTGCAACCGAAGTATCTGAAAAGCTTACACGCTCACAAATTATAAGTGCATTTCAATCAAGACGTGGAGAAAAATCTCATTTGAAAAGTTTACACAAGAAATACCCAAAAGAGAAATGCTAGGTAGGGGGAAGAGTTTTATTAAAGCCCCTTAAGAACCACTTCTTTTTGTTAAACCTACCATTAATGGAATATTGTACATGTATACAAGCGATTCAGCTTATGCCAATTCATCTGTTCAACAAATGCGACAAACCATCAAAGTTGCATCCAATTAGTAGTATGTACCTTCTGGTGGTTGGGCAAGCTTCCGGTTGTATGAGGCTGCCATTTCCTTCTTCAGCTGTATCAGTATGTTTTCCATGGTGAACTCCCGCTGCCAATTTGCCAGAATTCCAAACTTCTTTGCTTCAACCTGTTACCAATCACTCAACTCATTAAGCAACGGGAGTCAAACACACAACTCCTGAACAGTAAATTAGGAAATCAGAACGAGAAATTTCTGAGAGAAGTCCGATCAATCACTGCAACAAGATGGAATGTATGACAGAGATTCAAGGAAACTAAGTGCAAATAATAATTTACATTTTAGTAATGAGCATGAACCTGAAAGTAGTAAATCAAGAGGGCTTTCCTGACGAACTGCCTTCCTAATTCTTATGACGCACAACCATATAAACCTTAAAGTCATGTGTAGTCCTTTGAAGGAGATTCCAGAGACATGAATTTCCTCACCTTGTTTCATTGTATATATTTTGGAGCAATAATTTATATTAATCTTTTGTTTATCCTCGTATCGACTACACCTATTTCATTTTCAATCTTCAAACGTTAAATACAGGGAAAATAAACTTGTTCAACCTAATAACAGAAGCCCAAACAAGGGTTATCATGCTATAAAAAGAGTACTAATAACATTACAAGGATTCCACAAATGCCTTTATTCTGATCATTCCTTAACCAGGAGTAGATGGTAAGCCTGACATAATACTGGGAACAAAGCAAAGCCCAGATAAGACATGATACAAACAGTTAAATTACTTTACAAAATCAGTAGATATATTGGACAATTTGGAGCATTCTAACCGAACAAAATTACAACATTACCACGCCAGTTTCCTGGTTGACACAAGCCATTTTGATTTGTGTATGAAATCGTACAGTTGGTGGCTTCTCAGGATAATCTTTGTCACAGAAAAGCTTAAGTTGATATATGCGTCCTTCATGAACAGTCTGAGGTAAAAAATGATCAGAAATAATTTTTTGTTTGAACTTTAGCATATGAACCAGTAAAATACAAAACATGACCACAAATATCAACTTCTCATGACAACACAGAATTAAAATTAAGTAAACAATAATGTCAGTAAGAAAAATCAACAGTCTAACATAAAAACTGCTCACTTCTAACAAGCAGTGACAAACTCCACTACTAAATTAATTGGGTTGGACAAAGAAACTACCTTACCGCAAAGCAACTTACTAGTGGTGGCTGAGAAGATGAAATAACTAATATTCAACCATAAATTGATGAAATATTTGCCCAAGAGTTTAAAATCCATGATCTTTATCGTTATAACTCTGTGCACCTCATTTGGTTAAAGGGCATGACACCAGAAAACTAAAAAGACAAAAATGGAGTTTTTGTCGGAGGACACCCATCTTTGGGACATTGAACCATCTTGTAAACATTTTAGTAAGGATTTTAGCTCGGGATTGGTCTTATAAGCTGCTTCAATGTCGGTCAAAGCTTTGAGCATGGGACTAGACAAACCCATTATCTTCAAAAGTACATGCTGGTGGAACAAAGCATTGGGCACTTTTTCTGTGAATCTACTCGGTGTTCAACAATGTGCTTATATCCAAAAAATTTGAACAACAATTTCTGCCCATCAGAAGTTAAAATGCGCTGATCCAAGAAATGAATAATTTCATGGTTTCCCAGAATATCAATGGATTGGTACAGAAGAGGACTCCATTGTTTGCACCACAACACTACTGGATTGTTAGCCAAACAAGAAAATAGAAAGCCAACTGGAAGGCCCCCCTTCTCAAAGCACTGCACCTATAGCACCACAAAAAGTGTCAATCCAGCATTGAAGGATAGGAGAAATCTGGTAAAGCAATAACTGGGGCGATAGTCAGAACTAACTTTCCCAGAGCATCCTTTTAACAATAGCATGCCTGAATTCTTTCCAAAAGATTTTCAACTGTGGAGCTACTTAAGAAGGGGGCTCCTATTGATTAGTGTAGCTACCTAAGGAGACGGTTATTGTTGAAGAGTGGCACCACCTGAGAAGAGGGCTACATTAATAAGTGAAATTTACCTAAGAAAGAAAAAGGCGACCATTTCAAGACTAAAGTTGCCAAAGATATGATGCTAGCATAGATGAATGACGCTACATAACAGCAAGGTTCTAAAAGATGCTAGGCACTAGTCAGGTGGCAGCCTAGGCGAGATTAAGTAAATTTATTATATATCATATAAATAAGTGTTTGCTTATACTTAAAAATATATATAATTTCATCATAAACTGCAAAATAGAATGACATACATTATAAAGTATTGAAACATAACGAAAACATGGTGAACAAGCATATAATGTGTGTTCATCTAAGTATTGAACAAGTCTCTTACAATTTATAGAAAAAAATAACATGCAAAATGAAAGTTATCTATGTTCTGTCTAAGTGAATTGCGACCTAGGCAGGTGACTAGGCAGGCACCTAAGCAGGTCTAGGCATCCTTTATTAATTTTCAAATGCCTAGGGATAAATCGGGACGGTGGCCAGCCACAATGCTTTGCGGCGCTAGGTGGGGATTTTTAGAATAGTGCATAACAGACCTATACCATTGATGAGTGGAAATATCTAAGGAGAGGAGTCGAACTAATAACTGGACATAACGGAGTAAAGAGGTACATTGGTCAGTGATGCTACTAAAACAGGTGAGGGCTACCACTGATGAGTGAGTGCATCTGCCTTAAGAGGAATGAACTCCCACTGGCCAGTGCTAGTAGAGTTGACCAACAAGGACTTTAACTTTTTGAAGCAAGGTTAAATGTTATAATCTAGTATCTCATATTTAATAAACTAGAACTTTTGGCAAATACATATGGACGGACAGGAGTCCAATCATGCCACCAGTGAGAACGAGAAACTTAGGCATGAATGCTCTTAATCTTGTCATTTTTCATGTGCCCACACATCCAGCGAAGCAGTCCTATCTCCACTACACTCATTTTTTGTACGTGTTGATGCTTGACTGCCCAACATTATGTGCCATAAAGCATTGCTGGCCTTATTGGTGTCCTATAAAATTTTCCCTTGAGCTTTAGTGGCATACGTCAGTCGCACAACACACCCGATGCATTCTTCCACTTCATCCATCCACCTTGTACTCTATAGTTAAGATCTCCATCCAATTCCCGTTCCTTTGCAAGATAGATCCAAGATAACAAAAGCACTCACTCTTTAGTACTTCCTAATCTCCAATCCTCACCCCTATCTCATTTGGAGCCCATGCAAGAACAAAAATTTATTTCCCAAGGATCCTTATTCAGGGACAAAAATGCTTCAATATAGTTTACCCTGTAGCTTTAATTAGAGTTATAAGAATTGTGTCATGTTATGTCACCAAGACATGAATTATCAAAAGGCAAAAAAAACCCACGCATAATGCACAAGCATGCCACACTCAAAAACACAAAACGTAAATGAAAGCTCACTTATTTTCACCTCCAATTGTTCTTACACTGAAAATGAATAGATCATAATGTCCTCATAATCCAATATATCTAATTGCACTCATAAAGTAAAAAATGAAAAAAACAATAAGAAATGTTTTGTCAACTAATAAGTTTGTGTAAGCATCATATCATATATATATTTTCTAAATATTACTCAATAATGATAGATTACTTGGATGTCTCTTCATGAATATGCAAATGTTAAAGAATCGCTTGAGAAGGCCCACATGCCATTTTCATCCAGGAGACTCATCTACTAAACAACCTACAAAGTGCGTAGATCTAGACCGTACTAATCCAACATATCTAAAATGTAGTCACCAAGTAAAAAAAGGAAAAACAATACAAAATGTTTTTGTCAATAGAATAAATTTGAATTAATCATCCCACATATTTTCTAAAGGTGACTAAATAATTGTAGCTTAATTAGATGTCTCTTCATGAATTAATCACTTGAGAAGGCTCATTTATTATTTTCATGTGGAAGACTCATCTACTTGAACAACCTCTCGAGTGCATAGATCTAGATCGTAAATAACGCAACATATCTAATACATCCGCAAAGTAAAAAAGCAAAAGCAATAAGATATTTTTGTGTCAACAAAATAAACTTGTCTTAATCATCTTACATATTTTCTAAATGTGACTCGATAATGTTAGGTTCATAAATGTCTCTTAATGAACAACCGTTAAAGAACTGCTTGAGAATGCCTATTTGCAATTTTCATGTGGGAGACTCAACTTCTAAAATAACCTCTAGAGTGCACAGATCTAGATCGTAAACAAATTTTGTCTACCATGTGGGATTTGCCTTTCTTACGTTGCACTCATTCAATGACAAACCAAGTGAATGTGAAATTATGGATATGAGATGATCTAGACAAAAGCATATAAAAAATTCATCCTAAATGAGACTAAATCCGTAAAATGAATACACACATGATGTAACACATCAAATTCACAAAAATAATGCCATTAAATCAAACAGTTTACGTAAGAACAATTCATAGGAGAAGAAACAGGGAGGCGGGGGGATTATTGAGGCACTTGCTTACATTGAGTGGACCAATTATGGTACCCGTCCAAGAGCGCATGTAAATGTCATCTCCATCATCCATTCCATAGCTTACAGTTCCATCTCCTATACCCTTTTCTCCACGCTCGAGCTCTTCCAGCAACCTAAAATTTCGCGGCACTACACAACATCAAAAGATATGATTAAGCATCCCAACCTTGCAATATACAAATAACACATTGGATCAAATAAAGTCACTTCAATCAGGCATTGACAGATTTCAGATTAAGTAGGCTTTACTACTTGTATGGGTGTCCAAATGTCTATAGCACTCTTACGGAAAGGAGCATTCTGGTGTTATACATCAAATGAATTGTACCAAACACATATATCTTGTTTGACTCTAATAAAGAGCTAGAATAAGAAACCGACTTAAGGGTATAATCTTGGATCATTCTATTAAAGACAAGGAATAGAACACTTTCTCACCTTGTAAAGATATATCCGAAAATGTTACCTCCATAAGTTGCCTTTTTATTTAGCTCCTTACAATGTACACACATAATTCTATAAATACACAAAAAAAAAATCCCAACTAATGTATTCAAATGACGTTATTGATGAGACTTGTCTATAACCGTTAGATCGACCAAAATGGACCCGTCTTAGCCTTTCATATCAGATTTACACCGTTACGAAACAATTTCCATGTTTAAGGAAGTCATTACAGACCAGATAAGCATAATAACTAATCTTCATCATTTAGATAACATTTGATGCCAGAGTGTTTCAATCTTCAATTCAGCCATTGAAGAAAAACTCTCTGTTATATCTACTTACGTCAGCTACTTACCATAGATCCTTACAACCCAACAAGTCAACAGAAATCAATCTATTAATCCCTTTATGAAAAACCCATTTACATCAAACATCTATTCAGAACAGATTAACCAAACAAGCAAACCAATCAGAGTGATCGAATCGCAAATAACAAATTCAATTGCAATAAAAAGCAATTCACAACAAATTTCAATAAAATTTAAACGAAAAGAAAAATTTAAAGACGAACACAACAAATTAAAGAGAGGGACCATTGATATACCAATGATGCTGGATCCGGCAGAACCAATCGTCATGGAAGAGGAGAAGGAATTGAGAGATGGGTAGGGGCTTTGGGAGGGCAGGGAATATTTGTTGAGAAAAAGCAGAAGAGACAATGATGGACGAGAACGCGGGTAAAAAGGGGGACGACGACTGACGACTCGGGCTGGCAGCAAAAGTGAAGTAAAACCCACTTCATAGAATTCAATTTTTTAAACTCAAAAACATTTTTCAAGTTAGGTTTTTGAAACTTGTTTAGCGTGACTATTTTGAAAAATTGAACTTAAAACTAATTTAAGAAATAACATATTCTTTAAAAACATATGTTGATGCCCAAAAATGTTCAATTGCAATCAAGTCTTGAAGCCCAATTATCATAAAAGCACCAAGTCAAGCTTAAGCACATACAAAGGTGCAGAATCGAGAAATGAAAACGCTCACGATCATGCCACGCTATTAAAATAATGATAAACAGATTAGATGTTTGCATAATCACACCATGCCCATGCAAATTCATGCGTATTCATCACGCCAAGCTCTATCACACTAACTACTTTTCATGCTAAAATAAGTTCAAGCCACGTACCAGGGCTTGGGAAGTGAATCATGGTGTAGATGGTTATGAAAGTTTATTAGGCCTAGCCGGAGTCAAGATTATGGAAGACTTTGGGCTGCTTAGGAACCCGAAGATACAAGCCCACAATTTTTAAAGTCCACAAAGGTAAGTTTAAGAGAGAACAAACTAAGTTTTCGCTTTTTCCTTAGTAAGCCAACTAAGCCAGTTAGAAAGGAACAAAACTCAAGGTTTCAAGTTCATGTAAAAGCCCAAAAGAGCCTGGATTTAATGAAGAAAGATGCATGCTTTCCATTCCTAACTCACGCAGAAAAATAAATAACAAAGGCTAGGAGACGCGTTATTGGAATTGATGTCTGTGGAAGCTAACATGGGGAAGGAATGCTCTTGGAAGGGTGCGCGATGCAGTTTTCAGTAGGGTAGTGGTGTTTATCTGTCTTACACCAAAAAGGAAGGTCAAAGTTGTGTTAGGAGAAAGGGGAATGAAGACTTAGCTGTAATTAGAGATTCCTTAGGAGGCCTGAAGGGAGAATCATTCACTTACAATAGAAAGGTCAAAGGTTTTGAATAGAGGAGGTTCAATCCAGTGCAGAGAGAATGAGACAGAACGTGAGAGAAAAAGATTCAAGGTTGTACTGCACTAAGCAAGGGAAATCACTCTTTAAGTGCAAACAATCTTGATTCTTTGAGAGGGTCACCTTCCTGCAACCTTAGTGGTTTCTTTAAACTTCCTTCAATCCTTTCAGTCAATAAGAGCCTTCTTAGAACCTTAGGAAGCCCAGATCACCCAATTTAAAAATATCATGCAACTATACAAAGTTCTCTCTCAATTAAAATAGGTAAACTTCTAGCTTCCGCACCGCATGTCACCTAAGCAAGCCATTGTTTGCTTAACCATGCTATCTTTGAGTTATTGATCAAACTGGGATATTTCCTAAGACGTACTAATTCTTTCGAGATATTCTAAGACTTGTACAAAAGCGAACCAGGGAAGCAAAAGGTTACTCACAAAGCCTAAGTCCACCTCGACCCAAAAGTCCTTCAACATAAATTCGCAACTCCACTAGAAACCAAGTCACAATCTTAATCAATAGCTTTAAGATCTAGAAGAAACACTACCAGGAGTGGTAGTGACTCAGAGGCAGGCGAAGACGCTTCTTGATGCAAGACATGAAATAAAAATATTATAACTCAAAAGAGCAGATGCACTTCAAGTGGAGCACATAAATTATTGGAAGATAAATTTATGTGCTGGAATAAAGAGGGTGGTTTAATACATATTGGTTGATCAGTTTACTTCCAAGACGTTTTATAGCTGATATCATTACTTTAGTTATGTAATTTTCAGTTTTATGTGACTTTAATTCAATTTTATGTCAATTTAATCCTATTGTCTTTCAATTTCTGAATGTAAGTTACAAAATGGTTATAAAAACCATTTAGTGTTTCTCTGTTTCAATTTTGTGCCTTTCTATTTGTGAGATTGTTCTGCTTTGTTCTTCTAGTTATCTACATTGTAGGTTGGTACTAAAGACAGGGTTTTTAGGGTTTTCAGGTCTCTCCTCGCACTAGGAGATAGTGGACCCTATGTATCAATTTTCCTTTTTGTTTTATTTTGTTTCTACCTACTTCACCCTGCATCAATTGGTATCAGAGCTTGAGACGTTCTTCAGACCGGCACATCATCTCTGTTGATCATCAAATCTGGTTCAGTTTCCTTTACTTTTATTTTGAGAGTTATACATCATCGGAAGGCTCAGGGAGTCTAAATTCCAATGCAACAAACTATGCTTCAAACGGAGTTTTGCGTGAACAGATATTAGCAAAACACCATAGAACGTTGGTGTTGAGCAAAACCAGCATATCATATGTGTTGTGGGCTAGGTTTCAAGTTCATTAAAAATTACTTAACCGTCAAGCCATATATCATTGGAAAGCCTTTCCAATCTAGTTTCCAAATCTTCAAGCAGTTTTCCAATCCGTTATTTGTGCCAAACAATATTCTCATTTTATTAAAACATGTCGCTATAGTCAGTATTTGAGCATGCATATGTTCTACGAACGGAAGTCCAAGAAACAAGTGCTTCAGATTTTTCAGGTGATAGATTACTAAATCTTGACCTTCCTCCAAAGTTCGATAGTTGTTCAGATGGTTCTTATGACATTTGTGGTGGTTTATGTTTTGAGGTTGAAAAACTTCTTGACATTGGATTTGAAACAAAAGTTCAACATATGGAATGTACCGACTAAGTTGATTATAATTTTTTCTGTGATGAAGATTTAGAAGTCTATGAGAAGTTTGTTGATTGGTACTCTCCACCAATTTATGATGAGTACCATAGTAACGTTTTGACTACAATGGATGAAGACTTCCACGTCCAGTTTCATCAAGAGGTAAAAGTTTCGCATTTATATCAGGATTATATTTGGGAAGATTTTGTTGCTCATGACATTAGAAAACCTTTGGAAAAAAAAGGTTACTGCGTTTGATTTTGAGCTTGGATTACTCTTTGAAACCTATTCATCACTAGAAACTATTTGTTACTTGTACTTGTATGCTTTGAAGTGAGGTTACATCATGAATAGATTAAACAACACATGGTTTGGAAGGTTGCAGTGGAACTTGCATGAATTTGTGGGCAGGAACACTTTCTGAAGTTTCATTTGCTAATATGGATGAAGTGGAAAATATTCATTGGACATCCGAAAGATCAAGGAAGATAAAACAAAACTCGAAGATGAGTTTTCTTCAAGAAGGGGAGAATGATGCAGGACGTGAAATAAAAATATTATAATTCAAAAGAGCAGATGCATTTCGAGCAGAGCACATAAATTATTGGAAGATAAATTGATGTGCTGAAATAAAGAGGGTGGTTTAATAAATATTGGCTGATTAGTTTACTTCCAGGGCGTTTTATGGCTGATATTATTACTTTAGTTATGTAATTTTCAGTTTTATGTGACTTTAATTCCGTTTTATGTCAATTTAATCCTATTGTCTTTCAATTTCTGAATGTAAGTTACAAAATGGTTATAAAAACCATTTCTTTCTATAAGATGAAAAAGCTGGACGTTTTGATTAATGAAAATACTCAAAGTGTTTCTCTGTTTCAATTTTGTGCCTTTCTATTTGTGAGATTGTTCTGCTTTGTTTTTCTAGTTGTCTACGTTGTAGGCTGGTACTAGAGACGGAGTTTTTAGGGTTTTCAGGTCTCTCCTCGCACTAGGAGATAGTGGACCTTATATATGAGTTTTCCTTTTCGTTTTATTTTGTTTCTAGCTGTGACACCTTGCATCACTTCTCAACTGGATGAGTCTCAACGAGGGGAACAACACCATGAGAGCCAGGAAAATTTGGGAAAGTACGCCATGTCACATGTCATCATAGCCATTCATGCTTTAGGTGAAGCCAAAAAGAAATCGTTGTTGTGAAGGAGTTGAAAAACTCGATCCCAAAACCAAGCGAGATGGCGAGTGACAAGAATTGCACACACATGGAAAAGACTTCTCATGAGGAGTTAGCTGCCCCTGCTGGCAAAGGTTCTAAGAAAGGACTATCATTTGTCACTCAAGAAGACATTATCGCCATAATCAAGAAGGAGTTGGACATGAGCTCAGAGGACTAGAAGTGTATTCTTGAGTCGCCATACGCAATTAACCTTCTTCACATGCCATATCCCAAAAACTATTAAACTCCTAACTTTGTCCTCTTCGATGTAAGGAAGGGTAGCCCTAAGGAACATATAAGTCATTTCATTAACACTTTGTGTCCTCATGTCGATGACTATAACTTTCTTATCAAGGAGTTCTCGAAGAGTCTAATTAACCGTGTACAATTGGTATACTACCCTTGCGCCAGGTTTCATCCAAACTTGGGAAGAATTGGCAAGTGTTGGAACCAAATTTGCATACCCCTGTGAGTGCTGAAGATGCACAAATTTGAGTAAATTATAAAATAGCAAACAACCATAAGCAAGCCTTAGACCAGAGGGTGTGCTGGTCAAAGGCTCTCCGACGATCAAGTTAGTAAACAAGTATATGACTAAAACAGTGGGCAAGAGAATCAGAGTGCATAGATTACATTACCAGAGACAAACCCTAGATAGGTGCATTTACACCAACCAGGAGAAAGATATTTTTAGGATAGAATCCTTGTTCTAATCCTAGAGAATCCTAGAAGATATCTAGAAGTAGATATTGGATCCTCTGAGGAGTTATGATTGCTTGCAGGGTGCGCGCCAAATTCTAGATTATAGGAACTCCAAGAGTTATCGAGATCTAGCTGATTCCATACCATATCAGGTCTCATGTCCTGCGGAACAAACATGGTTATTCCAGTGAAGTCGCTCGAACTTCGCCCATTGCCCAAGGATAGCGTGATGGTGGCACTATTGCTCTATTTGATCCAGCTCCGCTCGGAGCTGTTGAGTCCATGACTAGATTTCTGAGGTAGTGATATTCGAATCAACCTTACTTCGGCCCAAGAAAATCATGGTCCCACATTGCCCCTAACTATATATTTGAGTGACACTTTTTCCCTTGAGAATGGATAGTTATCCAAAAACCATGCCTTTCGGAGTAAGCTGGAATATGTATCATTTGGCC